TTAATACTGAGTAAAGAAAGTGTATTTGTAAAAATTGCTTAATTCTTTTAAAAGATTTATTCTTATTGGAAAGGCAGATATACAGAAAGGAAGAGAGACAGAGAGGAAGATCTTCCATCCACTGATTCACTCCCCAAGTGACTGCAAAGGCTGGTGCTGTACCAATCTGAAGGCATGAGCCAGGAGCGAGGAGCTTCTTTCTGGGTCTCCCACACGGGTGCAGGGTCCCAAGGCTTTGGGCCATCCTCGACTGCTTTCCCAGGCCACAAGCAGGGAGCTGGATGGGAGGTGGAGCTGCCAGGATTAGAATCGGCACATGCAAGACCAGGACTTTAGCCATTGAGCTACTGTGCTGAGCCCCAAATTACTTAATTTTCAAAACTTGTATTATGAGGGAAGATAGCAAGGAAAATTTGAGAGAGGGAAATTTTAATGATGAAGGTTTAGCTAATCAATAAGAACAAGGAATTTATCAGAGTAAAATTGTTAGGAAGAAAAACGAGACTTTAAGAATATGAAAGAAATACTGAAACGTAAAAGGCAGGTTTGTGTCCTTCTGCCTGCTGGTCCTCTGAGGACCTCTGGAGTGATGTGGTGTGGTGTGGAGTGGTGTGTGGTGTGGTGTGGTGTGGTGTGGTGTGGTGTGGTTCTGTGAACTTCTGCTTTTGCTTCCTGTGAACAGAAAGGTCTTAGACTGAAAGTTTACTGGTTGAGATATGTAAGAGTGAATAATTTTGAATTAGTTATTTGGACTTGTCAGCTTTAGTTACTTAATAAAAAAAAGAGATGTCTTTGAAACAATTAGGAGTTTTTGAGACAATCAATTGAAGTCATGTGGAAGTATTTCGAAAACTAAAGTGCTTCACAAGCAGTTTTTACCCACCTACGGGTTACAGCTGTGGATTCAGTCCAGTGTTGGAGATATTTGAGTATCGATATGTTAGAAGCTGTGTTGTAGATTTTAGAATCCAGGTGGATATAATGGTTATCTTTTGTAAAGCAGAAGCAACAGCTATTAGATTTATTTGTGTTACAATAGAAGTTTTCTGGGCAGGTTAGTAGGATATGGGATACTCTTTGATCATTAGTAACTTCTGTCTTCAAGGTGTACCTTTAGAGATACACTAATATTTAATTCTGGGATGATCTCCATGGCCATTACCCAGAAGACTTGTAGAAATGTGAACTTTTGGATTTGTCCTCGAAAACTGGATTCTGATGCAGAGTTCCTAATCACGGGGCCTGGACTCTGCCTTTTTATAAGTGTAATCTGGATTGTTATTCATCTTTTTAACTTAGTCTTCCTGATGACTAGAAATGATTGTTGAGTTTGAAATAGTTGGTTCTTCTTTGCTAAAATAAACTTCCCATTTATTGATGATAGTTATTTTGTGTTAAGATTTTTATGTTTGACATGATAAATATGTTCCTATGTTGTATGAGTAGAAGAGATAGTGATATTTACTTACTTAGTATTTAGTAACTCACCTATTGGCTATATTATTTTTTCATAAATAAATTTTAGCTCAAATGTTCAAATAATGTAGTGTCTGAATTGGATGGGAAAGGAGCGCAGATGGAGAAAATGTTGTTAGAAAGACAAGTGCAGAGGGAATGGGAGTGATGATTTTCTGTTGCTAACTAAAACATTAAAAAATCCCCCAAACCTGATATGTCTAATATGAATAGCTAGAAACTGGTGGAACTTTTCAAGGAGTTTTGGTTTGGGTCATTGTCTTAGTCATGGTGGTGAGTCCCGTCTGGTGTGCTTGCCCGCCTGGCTGCTGGGCCTTGCCCAGGAAGAACACTTTTCTTTGGTGTGTTGCCTGTTGTGACTCCTTGAGAAGCCTTACTACTTTTTAGGAAATCTGGGTGCTTCCTGATGGTGTTTCTACATGGACCTTACCTTATTTAGAGTCTTAAGGAAAATTTCACTCGGAATCACCTCAAGTCATAGTTTTAAATTTAAGTGTTTGGAGAGCTACTTTTCAGTGACCTTTAATATTTGTGTCTTTAGATCCCAGATATTTTTTGACTCTAAAATTCACTTTAATAATTGTTACAGAGTAAGCCACTCTGTTGTTAATATCTAGAGTTTTGTCCATTCTCAGAATCTCTGCCACAAGGGCTTGGTCATTGTTAATGACAAAATATTGTACATCTCTCCTGTGTTTGGGCTCAATATAAGCTAAAATGTCTTAAAATGCTGTGCTTTTATATAAAATAATTTTATTTGATTATTTTATTTAAATAAATGTAAAATAATTTTACGTATTGTAAACTCAATCTATTTGCCAGTATAGTAGTATTATCTATAGCTGGGATTGTGGCTGGCTATCATACTATTTAGAATTCACATAAATTGTTAAAATTTTTAGTAGATTTTTTTACTGACAGCCTGCCTGACATCAAAAGTCTTCCACAACATTTTCAGTATCTGTTTCTGGGTACTAAACAAAGGGAGATTTTTGCTTCTAAAATGACAGGTGGAAGGAGGGTTAACATTTTTGGAGATTGGGAACGTAGAATACAGAGAAGAAAAACTTAGATTAAATTTACATTATTTCTATTCATCTTGAAAAATAATTATAGGTGCATGTACTTCCTGTTTTTGAAGGTGTTAGAAGTAATTAAGGGCTGAATTAAGAAGGCCCTGGGGAGATTTAAGATGGGATTTTGGTTACCTAACAAATATAGAAAACAAGATGACTAGTACTAATATTTTTTCTTTACAGTGGTCTTCTGCAATATTGGTGTTTTTATCATTCACCCTAAAAATATTGATGGTGTTGGAGTTCTGAGTACCTCCTCAATTATTGTCCTCGCTGTCAGATGCAATCATGTCATTATTGTAACTCTGAGTTTTTTTTTTTTTTTAAGCTAGAGATGTACTGGTTTCTCTGTCTTAGGTCAGTATCAGTAATTACATTTTTCTTCTAGATGTTTTCCTAATGCTTTGGTGTTACTGGTTTTAGTTTCTGATAGTATAGATTCTTTAACATATCGTCTGAATTCAAGTCTCATGATTGTCATTTATGAGCTCTGTGAACTGGAACAAGTTATTTATGTAATATCTCATCTTATTCATGTAACACGTATTAGAAGACACCTACTTCGTGAATATTATTGAAAATTAATTGTTGAAATTTTTAAAAAGATTTATTTTATTGGTAAGACAGATATACGGAGGCTGGTTAGTTATCAAGAGCCTAGGTTACCTCGCTGGTTCCTGTAATTTTTCTTTTGTTTTTACAAAGGCTGTCTGTGAATGTCAAACAATATTTTTGGTTTGAATTTCATACTAATAGTATTTTCCCCCTTCACCATTTCATGTACTTAAACTATGTTATCAAGACATGGGGTCTTACCTTGAATGAAGCAAGTGGAAGTCATTCCTTTTTATTTTTAAGGGTTTACTTATTTGAATGGCACAATGAAAGAGAAAGAAGGATGGAGGGGCAGGGGAGGGTAAGAAAGAGAGAAAGAGAGAGAGAGAGAATGAGAATGAGTATCTTGTGGCCACTCCCCAGTGACTGCAGTGTCCAGGGCTGAAGCCGAGCCAAGGTCTTACTCTGGGACTGCGTCTCGGTCTCTCTCGTGCATGGCAGAGCCTCTAGCACGTGGGCTGTCCTGTGATGTTTGCAGGGAACTGAATCTTCAGTGGAGTTGGCTTTCCAGGTGAGCACTTGACATGCTATGACGCAGTGCTGGCCCCAATGATAATGTGGTTAAACTGCGAAAAAACTCAAATCTACCAAATTGTAAATTACTCTTTACGTTGGGATCTTCCTTTATCAGGCCTCAGGATTAATAATAAAAAAAACCCGTTTGTTTAGTTGAATGGTTCATAACCCTCATATTTCCTCCCACTCAGTAGAGCTTTTCTTTTTTTTTTATATAAACCCAGATTTTCAAAAGTTCTAGCTATTTTTGTTTTGCTAATACATGTTACTCTTAATTTTTTCCCCTTCACTCTTTTTTTTTTCTTTTAAGGATTTATTTATTTTGATTGGAAAGTCAGATTTACAGAGAGAGGGAGAGTCTAAAGATCTTCCATCCATTGGTTCACTTCCTAAATAGCTGCGATGGCCAGAGCTGAGCTGATCTGAAACCAGTAGCCAGGAGCTTATTCTGGGTCTCCTATACAGGTACAGCGTCCCAAAGCTTTAGGCCGTCTTCGACTGATTCCCAGGTCACAACTAGATGGGAAGTGGAACAGCTGGGATACGAACTGGTGCCCATATGGGATCCTGGTGCATGCAAGGCAAGGACTTTAGCAACTAGGCTATCATGCTGGGCCCATTCCCTTCACTCTTAATATTTTTAATTCAGGTTGCAAATATGGAAACAATTAGTGTTTTAATCAGCTAGGGTGAGAGAGTTAAAGTAGAAGTTAAAGATTCAGGGGATTCCTGCAGAAGGGTGAAAAGAAGATCTTCATTTTAGGATCATAAAGAATATATTTTGATTGGCATGTGGAGACCCTTGCCTGCACATAACCATCCATATCTGAATATTTATAGAAGATAATCTGTCAAAATTACTGTTATTTTAATTTGCTAAGCTTGGCTGATTGCCGCAGTTGGATGTTGGTTGAATTCTAGATGAGAAACTGTAAATACGTTTTGATGTGAAATACGCTTTTTGTCCTTGAAGCTGTTTGAATACTCTGCCTCTCTTGTCTGTTTTAGCTATGGGACCTTTTTATGTTACACAACATTTTGTGTTCCTTTGTAGGGAAAATTTAAAATAGGATGATAACTGTAAATATTTTTTTTTTTGAAAATGAAATATATTAACATTTAGTAATCAGGAGTTGTTTAGATATTTTAAACTATTTGTCCAGTGTTTGCTTCCAAAGAGTTGTCCCTGGAGAGTCAAATTTAGGACTCTGTTTCTCATTTGAATGGTTTTGTGTGATATAAATTGTTTCCTTTTAAAAACAAATAACTTATGTAGTTCTAATAACTAACATTACCTTTAAATCCTATTTTGAACAGGTAATAATTTTAGTGGTGCAGATTCAAGCAATAATACATTCCTTTGGCAATATCCCGTGGTTTGGTCAGCTCTTTATATTCTGGGGGAAGGAAGGTAAGTGATTTTTCGCAATAATATTGAAATAACTTTGGTAATAAATCAACTTTTTTTTTGAAAGCTAAAAATCCTTTTCAGTCAGAGTCTCTTTACCCAGAAAATAGCATATTCATTTAGGATGTTTTCATTATTCCTCAAAGCATCCTACTGAAGTGACGTTTCCCCTTTGGAGGTGACACAGTGACTGTGCAGGTCACGTAACGGTTACTTTAGGTTGCGTCTGTTAGGCTGTGTTGGTCCTTACATAGTCATTTGATACCTGAATAGTTTGTTTTTATGTGTGTAACTACATTTTGATTTTTCTATTTACTTTTGATGTTTCCATTTTTTTCTCTCAAGACACGGCTGAACTTAACTTTTTGATTATTGCTTTCGCTACAAACTCTGTCAAGTATTAAGTGTGAATTTATTGAGATATCGACTTTGTTTCAGTCAGGGTCAGTTGCTTCAGGTATGTGGAAATATCACTAGTTTATTTTTAATAAGTTAAAATAAAACTTCTCTTTTACAGTATGTTTTCCTGTATTTCAGACACATCATTCCTTATTCTTGCTTGACAAACTTTTTTTTGTAGATGAATCTTTTCTTCTAGAAGTTCTTATGAAATCTCACTTTTTATAATTTTTTGCATCCCGTTGCCATCTTGAAGTCATTTTCCGTGTTTATCATCCTAATTCCCTGTTACCTTCCTGGAAATGTTTACATTTTGAACTCTCTTAGCTGTAGAATTTCTTGGAGTGGGAGATGACCCACTGATTGATTCCTCAGATGCCAGATGCTTGTCAATGCTCAAGTCCAGGAATGCTGTTCACATTTCTCTATTGCCAGAAACCTGATGACTTGAGCCACCTTTTACCTCCGGGCCCTGCATTAGCAGTAATTCTGAATCAGAAGCCAGAGCCAGAGCTGGACCGCAAACCCATTGTTTATGGGCATTGCATCTTGACCTGTAGGCTAAATGCCCATCCTGAATACCAAAATGATTACTAATTCCTTAAGATGCTAATTCCTCATTTTGTAATGATTCAGCATGTTTGAATATATGTAACATATATATGACATATATGTAAAGTGTGATATGTCATAATCATGTGCACATAATCCCAAAGTAAGAAGAGATAAAGGAACTGAAGACCTTATTGCCACAGTGGTCAGCAGGCAGTTAATACCAGACATCAAATCATACAATGCAGGAAGATGGTGGAACATTAAACAGGGTGAATACCACCCCACAAAGGCCCTACACAAAGGCGCCATTTGTAAGCATATCACAGTTAAACTGCAGAATATCAGTGATACAGAAAGTGTCATGAAAGTAGTCATGGGCATTAGCACACATTAGAGGAACAAGTGCAATAACTGTCATCTAGCTTTTTCTTAGAAACCTTTGGAATGCAACAGAAGGACAGTGGAATAAAATGTATAAGAGTTGAGAGGAAAAAACCAGCACCTAGGATTCTGTATCATACAAAATTATGCTTTAAAAGTAGAGCAGAAGTAGACTCTCTCAGACAAAATGGCTAAAATGTATTGACCTTTAACATTGTTTGCAAGAGAAAAAGAAGTTCTTTAAGAGAAGAAAATTATTTAGGTCAGAAACTTCAATCTATGTTATAAAAAGGCAAAAGCAATAGAGAAGGAATATAAACGGATAAATAATAATAGGCAAAATATAGAAATAAGCAATAAGGAGAGTGAATAGTAGAGAGTAAACAGTAAAAAAAAAGTAGATATTAATCCATCTGTGTTAATGATCACTTTAAACGTGAATAGTCTAAATATATCAACTTAAACATTAGAGCATATCTAAAGGCATGATCTGGTGTTTTAACTGTCATGACAAGCATAGATGAACCTATGATGATAGGAGGCTTATTTAATTTGTAGTTGAGTAGATCTCTGGTTTTGTCTAGAGAGAGTGTATCAATAGGTAATCTCACATGGGGGGTGTGTGTGTATAAAAGAATCACATCTCAAAAGCAAATGGAAGAACTAGCCTTGCTCCTTTTATAACATCCTCTGGCAGGATTATCTCAGGTCCCCATTGCCTAAGGACCTCCCACCAGTCCCTACTTCTTACACTTGATCTTAGCCAAAAGGCCGAGAAGCAGTGGCAGCCTCTATTTCTTAAAGGTTCCAGTACATCTGCCCAGGGACGAGTACTACCACCCTGGGGATCGAGATGAGGATACCAAAACCATATTCAACCCATAGCATCCAACTGTGTACTGTTTACAAGATACCCACTTTAAATATACAGACCCATGACATTTAAAGTAAAGGGATGGAAAAAGATAGACTGTTCTGCCTGGTCTAACTAATGAGAAAAAATGGCCATAGCTAATTTTAGATAGAGCAGGCTTTAGATGAGCGAAGAGTATCAGGAATAAAGAAGAGCATCACACAGTAACAGAAGGACATGCTCTCTCTAGCAAAATTGAACAATACTTGAACAATACCTGCCTAACAGCATGGTGTCAAAATGCTGGAAGCCAAAACTGGGAGGGGTAGAAGAAATGTATTAGTTGTTTATTATTGTTTGAAGTTTAAAATCCCTTTGTCAGAAATGGGTAGACATAGCAGAGAGAAAAGCAGTAAAGGGGTTGTCAAAATGAACAGTATCCCAAATTCACCTCCTTGATAGACTTTGTCATTTAACGGTAGCAAATGCACATTCATTTTCTCTTTTGGGAGTCAACCTGCCTAGGGAAAAGCATGTTATTCTAATTAACTTATAAGAAATAACATCACAGTAGCTGGGTTAAGTACGCCACACACACTTTTGCTCAGCCCCAGGTTCCATCCTATCTAAGTGAATGCACAGTCAGAAACATTTCTTGTTGTGATTTTGAACAACAGAAGCTATTGATACACAGAAGAGGCCTAATTGATGGCTTTACACATTATACTTCACTTACACCCAAGTAACTTGATTATGAGGGCCAATTTCCATTTTTTTCAGCTTAAGCTTCTTGATTAGACTAATCCATTTTAAAATCCTGAGCTTAACATCGCATTGGTTTGGGGCAAAGCCCAAGGATTATTTTTTCTCATGCAAGTGGGGTACAAACTGCCCTGCTGGTCTGCTGAGCAGATTGCTTGAGGCCCTCAGTAAGTGTTGTCAGACCTTGAGTTGTCGATGTTTCTTCCTCTGCTGAAGTCCCCAGTGACAGTCTGAGCTGGCCTAGGTGCAGCTACCATCTGAGGTACCTGGTTGGTCATGAAAGGTACCCAGCATCTCAGTGTCTATTAGTCTGAAACTGTGAAGAGCTTGTTGTCTCCTGTAAAGAACAAAATATACATTCTTTCAAAATGAAATAGAGAAACCTGAGAATTTGTAATTTTTTATGATCAAAACTTGCATCATGGCATGTCGGCTCAGCTGACTAATCTTCCACCTCCAAGCACTAGCATCCCATTTAGGTGCCAGTTCATGTCCTGGGTGCTCCACTTTCCATGCACTTCCCTGCTCATAGCCTGGGAAAGCAGTTGAGGATGGTCCAAAACCTTGGGACTCTGCACCTGCTAGAGAGACCCTGAAGAAGCTTCTGACTCCTGGCTTCAGGTTGGTTCAGCTTCCACCATTGTGGCCATTTGGAGAATGTACTTTCTGTCTCATCTTCTCTTTCTGTAAACCTGCCTTTCCAATAGAAATAAATAAATCTTTAAAGGATTTGCATCACAAATAAAGAATCAGAGAAAAAACCAAGGAGCTTATTTTTATAAACTTGATTATCACCTGCCTTCCTTCTGCAAACTCTTCACAAATTTTAGGGTAAGAATTTAAAAACTTTGATTTTTAAAAACTACTTAAATATTTTTTCATGTCTCAAGTTTGGTATAATAAATGAATGCAATGATATAAGTATTTTTTTTTATATAAATGAAACCTAACTGGCACTCTTAAGTGGCTCCTAGAAATACATCTCACAACTTTCTGTTTCACTGGAACAAAGTTTGGAAACTGTTAGCTATACATCCCTGTGGCCAGGATGATACCTAGTGACGATTCACCTGACCTGCAGGTGTGTTGCTGCCTATTGTTTTCAGAGCTGGAGGAGGGCTAGAAGTAGATAGCAAAGAAGTGGGGAAATCTGAGAGCAGAGAGGATGGATAAAGCTAGTGGAAAAAGACTTGCTGTTACGAGAGAGAGGTGAAAATCAGTTTGGTTTGGTTTGGTTTTGTTTATTAGAAATGGTGATGTGTGCTTCCTCAGAAACAACCTTTTTGGTTTTACTTTTTAAAAGTTCTTTCCTTTATTGCGGAGCTGTTGCAGAGGAGGATACTGGTTTAAGAGCATCAGGTAGGATGGAGAGAATATTGTAGCTTCCTTCTGTACATTTTAATTCATGTTCTTTGTTACTCTGAGTGGTGTTTCAGTCATTTGCATCTAATTCTTTGCAAAGCTAGTCTAAAGAAAAAAAAAAACCCAGTGTTTTGCTGCTACATTAATATTGGGCTGACATCTGTTTAACATTTAAATGCTATATCATTATTATCATTTGATACTTATTATCTTGCTTCAGTATGCTCGACATTAATTGACATTTATAAATGTGCTATCCTGTTCACCAGAGGGAACATCCTAAAAGAGAACTGATGGTGGAAAAACAGCCTTTTCTCACATGGATGGCTCTCTGGGAGCCTTTCTGTAAGGACTTTGAACATTACAAGGTCACTCTTTGGCAAGTTAAAATATGAAATGATTGCTGTAAAACACGGAGGTATGTCCCTTGGGTTGCCTGCATCCCCGTGTTTGAGGCCGTGGTCCCCATCCTGCCTTTGCTTTTCATCCCATCCTCTGTGCACTTCAGAAGGCAGCCGGTGATGGCCCCAGGAGTTGTGTCCCTGCTCCCCACGTGGCACACTCAGTTCTGGGCACCTGGACATGGCATAGCCCAACCCTGGCTCTCGTAGGCATTTGAAGAGTGAACCAGCAGAAGAGAGTTTTCTGTATGTGTGTCTCTGTTCCTCAGTCTTTTAAATAAATTATTAAA